TTTTTTTTTTCTGTGAAACAAAGATAAGGTCATCTTTTGTGTAAAAGGTAGCAAGAGGAAAGTAATACATATTTGAAAGAGCCATTGAATGAGAAAGAAAGCTAACAAAGAATAAATATAAGAGGTCTCGCTGAGACAAAACTGTGTGATTTTCTCAAGCTTTGATTAGCTACCCCAGCATTAAGTTAGACTTTGGAACAGATTCAGGATTGGATTTTTTGCTAAATCGTGTACCAGATAAACAAGAAGACTTGCCAGAATTGATTCTGGGGTTTTAGGCTGGATAGAGAAGAAAATAGGTAATTGAACTGAGATATTTTACAGAAGTGGTGATCAAGCAACCTCTTTCTGATGCTAAACCAGATTATCTTTCTGTCTTCCTGAATAGGAATATTTAAAAGAAATCTTATGTTTACTATGCAAGCTGTTAAATAAGCACTATCTGGCAACCAGAATGGATATTCATGGACATTAGGAGAATCTTACAACAGATGGAGAAGGCATGTCAAGGGAGGGCACTCTGTAAGAAAAAGTTCAACTTTTCTGGAGATGCTAAAGAGAAGAAAAAGTGAAATGCTAATGTGAAAGCTTCTTGGTTTTGCAAAGGATCAGTTATCATATGAATAGTGGTCAATTTTGCCCTAGTGCTTAGCATTTTCTTTTTAACTTCTAGATTCTATGGTCTTTGGAGATCAGGGACTACATCTTCACATCCTGCCGCTGCTAAGTGCCTAACCATAGCAGGGGCTCTATAAATAATTTCTTATTTATGATGATGAATTAACTCTTTGAAACAATTTCAATAATTTCCTAATTTAAGAGCAGAAAGCAGCTTAGGCACTGGAAAAATTTAACTCAATGCAAAAAGGCTCTTTGGAAAACAGTTACTGCCTGATCTCAAAATATAAATGATCACATGAAATACACTGAGATAGAAAGGACATATAAACATGTGTTCCTGTTTTGCCTATGACAAAAGAGGCATACACCAAAGGAAACATTATGCATTTTTATGCAAAAAATAAAAAAGGACACATACTGACATGAATGTTCCTATAATAAAGATTCTTCCAAAGAATCACAGTGCTCAAGTCTTAAAACTGGTTTTAAAACAGACAAGTCAAGATGTCTATATTTTAAAGAATGATACAACCCTGTTGATCTAAGACAAAGACTGAAACACACACCTCCGCCCCTTGTTATACATTTACATCTCAGTTTAGGAAAGCAAAAAGAATAAGAGTAAAAGCACATCAAAACATTTCGATTTAGTCTACTGTGAATCATTAGAATTCAAGTTTACTTTATTTAAGAAGACAGTTTTATTTATCACAAACACATCTTGGTTAAAAAAAAAGAAGTACTAAAATTTACTGAAGTGAGTCATACCTGGTAAGATAATCAGCAATTTTAGGATTCTTAAGGAGGTCCATCAGTAGGTCAACTGAATACTTTCTAGTTAGAGTACCATCACCGTTTATGAGAATATTAAATATTAGTTGAAAAGTCTGATGAATGTTTCGAGCATGGAATAGCTTAAAAACAAATTAGAAAAAATATATTACACACACAAAAAAATTTAAGTTGATACCATCCTAAAATATTTAAAAAATGCCTCAATGACTTGTAAAATATCAGAGACTATATATAAACTTTAGAATTAACTTCAAAAATCATATTTACCTTTTCCCCTACCTCTTCATTTAATGTCAAACTGGATAATATTGAAAGTGCAAACACAACCACAGTTAAACTACTATGGGCCAAGAAGGTTATAAGAGTTCGATAAAAAGATTTCACATTGCTCTGGGGAAGAAAAAATTAAAATTAGAATAAAGAATTATGAATTTTATATTTTGGTTAAAAAAGTCTGTCTTACACGGAGTGGGCAGATTTTTATTAAACATCATTATCAACTCTTAAAAAATGACTCTCATCTTTAAAAGATAAATGTTCTATAAAACAAATTTGGATCAGAGAGAAATTTAAATTCAAAGACTGTTACAAACAAAGAGCATCTAGAGAAAAAAAAATTTCGGTAAATGTGTGCAAACGAGTGAGAGATGAATTTTTGCCAAGTTTTGTCACTTTTCTGTCATAGCAGGGAAATTGTTCACAAAGCACCTTAAAGAATCAGTGAATTTCTTGATTCAATATACTTCTAAAAGTGGTTCAGTTAAGTTCATTTGTGTGCCTTCACTTACCACAAGCACTGGTGGTTGGATCTTTCTGGTGGATCTCCATCGATTTTGTGAAAACAAAACTGAGGTAATTGGGACTGCCAGTGATGTACCTCCCTTCTATTACCACAAAATAATTCAGCAATTCTGGTATTATTCAATGTAACAAATAATGGGATACAATGATGAGGGAAAACTTTTAAAAATCAATATTTGCATTAACCCTTAACATGCAGTCTTCAATACAACACAAATGAAAGCTGAAGTGCTTCAAGTTATTTATATGGTAGTCTGACTCTTCATTAGCTTTGATGGGTTAGCTATCAAGACATAAGACTCCTTGTTAAATTTTTTTTAAGAAAAAGACGGATAAAACTTTCTTTAAGCACAGAACCTACCGTGAAATAAGAAACATTAAAAAACAATAAACTTCTTACCAATGTCTTTATGTGTGTTTGAACAGAGAGATTGTGCCGACAAAGATTTGCCAATAATCCCAGACAAGGCATTGTTAACTCATCTTCAGAAGAGTGACTGTAGTTTTACATTGGTGTTTTGTTTAAAGAAAAATCATAAAAGACAAAAAGCATTAAGTTCATTGTAAATTAGTCAAAATGATATAGCAGTTTATACATTTCAATTCTTTTCTACACACAAGAAATCTAATTAATATGTGAAGCCAGTCAAGCTCTGATTATTTCATGTTTTGAAACCAAATTATCCTATTCAATTACACCATAAAAATATGAAAATAATTGTCAGTGACCATGTGCTATTTTATCAGTATGTTCTATTAAGATTAAATATAAACATACAATTGTCAGTTTCAATAATTTTTTCTGCAACCTCTTTCTGGCAGAATCACTTCTGGCAAGTCTTTCTGTTTATCTGGTACACCATTTAGCAAAAAACCCAATCCTGAATCTTTTCCAAAGTCTAACTTAATGCTTGGGTAGCTAATCAAAGCTTGAGAAAAATCACACAGTTTTGTCTTGGCCAAACCTCCTACATTTATTCTTTGTTAGCTTTCTTTCTAATTTCCTATAATGAAATTTATTTTCTATAAAATAAATTCATCTCATAAATTTTTGTTATGAAAATTACAGCTGTTTTACAACTTTTGATCCTTAAAATCATCTAGGAGGAGCAAACACGAATTGGAGTCTCATTAAGTTTAAAAAGTTAGAAAAAACTATCAAAGAAGAATTGATCGGCCACATGGTTTTAGTTTAAAAATAGACCAATAGATTATTTGGTTACATGTTTGATTGCATACTCACATGTGATCTATCAGGAATGTAATTAATTCATCTATATTGGCACCAGAATGGAAAATTTTGACGTTATACGTTAATCTCTGTAGAAGCTGAATGCACTGAAAATAAGAAAACAGTTATGAATATAAACATTGTAGAAACATTGCCTGTTTACAAGAATGGACCATAGTGCATATAAACGATGAGCATGTCATCATTTTAGGAAGGAGGGATCAGGGCAAGAACTTTTCCACTTCTTAAAACAGTTTTTTTCAAACACATACAAATTAATGTCGCCATTAAGAACCTAAAGGTTCATCTCCCTACCCGCACATTTCTACACATTCTATCTCAAAACAGGGCATTCACATAAACTTTGTTCACTTTATCATCTTAAACTTGAATGCAGGTTGAAACACACACATATACTATCAATTCTAAGATATCTTTTTTTCACATTTTACCATTTCCAAAATTGTACGTCAGTTTAATTGGTGATATTTTTCTTTCTTACAATGGATGGCATTTCAGATCAATGAAATAATGATGAGTGCAAGAGCTTTGAATCTATGTGAAATAAGAGTATATCCATAGCTTTAATTTTTGTAGAATGTTTCCTCAACAGATTGAGACTAGATGCCAACTCAAATTACAATTTTAATATGAATAGTTTACATTTCAAAACACAGATATCTGTGTTTATAAGTCAAAGCAGTTATAATGTAGATTTGTTTTTTTTCAATAATGGTGCTAGATGTGGGTAAGCTTTCCCTCTCTAGAAACATTTAAATAGTACATGTGTGTGCAACCAGCTTTTAATGACAAGAACTGAGCCTGATTATATAGTATATAGCA